TACAGCTGAAGTTTCATATTGACAGTAAATTATGTACAAAAACAACAAAAAACTTTTTAAAAAGAAGCTATTTAACCCTTAACCTCATATATACGCGAAACAACGCACTTCCGACCCCCCCCCCTTTTTTAGGCCTGAAATAGTGAGAAAATGTCCTATTTTTCCCCAAACACATGTTTTCGTTTGAGAAATGTTGTTAAAAAAAAGTGAGCACTTTTTCGGCGCCGCCCCCTGTCCAAAATATACTTCAGGGGGGGTTGAAGGGGGGGGGGCGGAGTCCCCCTCATCGCCAAGAAAATTTTGGACTTGTGAGAGGCTTTAAATGGCCCCAGGTCGATCATAAGGTAAGGTGTAACCAACGCTGAAAAGCCTTTGACTCTATCTCAATCCCTTGAGAAGTTGCAGCACTTTGAAGTAAATTTTGATGGAAAAAATCGAGGCAAAATAGTGATTTTTGGCAATTTTGAGATGTCCCCTCGTTGCCATGGTAACAGGAAATTTAACTTGAAAGAGGAGGCTTTTCAGTGAAAATGGCCATTTTTCACAATATGCTCATGGGTGAAAGGGTTAACTTAAAAAATTATAAATGTTACAAAACTACAATTTTTCACCAAAATTAGGTAAAAGACCACATGTTAACATGTAAAAACTAGATTTTGGGTGATTCAAAAGTTTTTCATCATTTTTTTTAGCCCTTTACCCCTAGTTGCCATGGTAACAGGAAATTTAAGACTGAGCATGTCGTTACAAAAGCAATGGTCCAGTCAACATTTGTGCCAAGTTTGATTAGTATTGAAGCATTTTTCATAGTTTCATAGCAGTTTGAACTTGTAAGAGGAGGCTTTTCAGTGAAAATGACCATTTTTCACAATATGCTCATGGGGGAAAGGGTTAAGTCTGACCAATGATTGGTAAGAAAAACTGCTCCCATCAGTTACGTCAGCATTTTCCCAAGAACAGTCCTTTCCATATGTTAAATTTATGGTATAGAAGCTACAGCTGTAATACTTTAAATTTCAGCCAGGACCAGGATCTAGAATATAAAATAAACTTATTATTCCCTATATATTCACGGCAATTAAACTTAAAATTTAACACTCAACTTTATTATTTAACCACAAACAGTTTAATCAATATTTATTTTGAAAATGCAATGGATTTAATGTATTTTTCAAACTAATTCACATTTAATTTTACTATCACTAAGATATAAAATTAATACAGTTAAATTGACGAATCGTCTTGGGGCGTAAATTATATGGGGCGAACAACACTTCATCTGCGTATAGGTTACAATAATATGATAAATAAATTTCAAAAAGGCATGGCTTATAAAATCATAAATTGCCAAGGACATCAATAACTTCGCGTAAGGCCTACCAAACCCAAAACATTCAATTAGGTCGCGTTTTGATACAAAAGTCTAAAATATTAGAAGGAGGTTTTGTATTTCTGTTTTTATTAGTAAAATTACTGTTGTCATTTTTCATATTTTGCAGATATGGAAGGTTCCATCTCGGATATTGTTTGTGATAAATGCGGGAAACATTTCATTCACGGATAGGTCTCAAATATTGACCACATGAACAGTCTACACGGCACAGGACCTTATAAATGTTGTGGTAAAACATTTTATAGCCCAGCAAATCGGAAACGTTACGGGTTTTACTGCTGATATTAAGATGACATTCAAACATAAGTCCTCTAGATTTTATTTACCTAGTTTGTAAAATAAAAGACCCATTCTAATATACTTTAGGTTGTTTTCTTTTATGCTTTAGATTAAAAAAAACACACACAACATAATAATGTTAAATACAGACACTAATTTGAAAAAAGTTGGTTTCATTAAAGACTAAGTGATAAAATGACTTGAATGTCTTTAAAATCTTAATATAACGAATAACATAAAATGCCATACCTGTCACGTTTCGATTTGTCACAACATTTACAAAGTCCTGTGCCGAGTAGCCAGTTTATGTGGTCATTAAGACAAATGTTGCCCAACATTATTCACAAACAATACCCGAACTGGAACCGCCCATATCTGCAAACTATGAAAAATGACAACTGTAATTGTGCTTATACTGAAATCGACCTCCTTCTTATATTTGAGACTTTTATTTTAATTTCTGCGATTAATTCATCTATATCGAAACTTCATTTAATATATTCACGTGAGTATGTATTCTGCTATCCATAAGGGCTTTATTCTATCCAGGACCTTTTGGCGGTATTTTTAATATTGTTCAAAATTCTTTGAACGTTTAAGGCTAAATGCATCAATCATGATTTTGTTCAATCAATATCTAGGCTATAACCTGCATAGATATTGCCTGCCATAAAAATATTGCGTGGGAGTTATCAACAATAAAAGTATGCGTGGGAGTTACCCAAATCATTTTTCTCTCATGTTTTGGAATAGAGAATGACCAGTCAACATTTAACATGCCTAATATTTACATTTTCAAATAAAGAAATTCTATGAACATTTTCTCATTGCTAACACGACGTAGTTTAATCAAATTCATAAAAAATACAAATTTTGCGTGAATGTTACCCGAAATATAATTGTTCACATTGAAAATTTCTGTTGAATTTTTGAGTGTTTGTAAAATCTATGAGCACAGGAGTGGAAACTAAGGTATAGGCGGCAACAATTCTTTATTCTGCGTAGGCTGCAACAGGTCTCGTATGTAAGTAAAAGGGATATAATAAAGAATTACCTTAAAAACACATGTGAAGCGAGGTTTTTAGGCCGCCATATTGTCTGTACGCGTAACCGTAAAAGTCACGTGATTCCCTGGCTAATAAATTTATACCCGATTTTTTAAAAGTCACGGAGTTAATAACTGTTATGTCCTGGAGTTCTTATGACAACTTTTGTTACTGCTAGTGTTTTTCTTAAAATAGTATCGATATATTCAATATTTTAATATTGAGTATATCGATCAATACTATTTTGATTTTCTGTTTTTGGTTGACATATATGCCCAAAGAATATATCAGGTATATGATTGGTTTACATCAGTAAACATGCTATATATCAGCTAAGAAAAATTTAAAACATGCTTTTAAAAAATTTCTAAATATATAGGAAGAGAGTGCCATTATGCCCTTCTCCTATATTTTCATTTCCCATTAGACCTTATTAGGTTTTGTATAAATATGGGCATGTGCAGTGATTTTTATTTTCTTACATTCTATTATCCTGTCCTTATTTAATGGGCGTATTTGAACAAAATAATATGCCCGTCTGCTCCTTACAAATAATTTTATGACACGTGAATCAGATGATTACGTAAACTACATACGTTTTTGGCGGGAAAGTTACACGTGCTTTCTATAGATTTGCTTTTGCAAGTAGTCTATTATTCTAAGGTTGACTGTTAGCTTCATAAAAATAGAAATTTTGAATACGACTTCATACCAACACACAAAGTATTCACCTACATTTGCCTCTTTGGTTAATTTACTGTCCCATATTGCGACAAACCTACAAATGTAGTTGTCATTTTCGGGAGTATGTCGTTATCCCGTTCCAGAGGTGACCCTGGATTTTACATACCCGGCGTAGAGCAGTGATACAAGCATTGGACCGGGTTTTAAGGTCTCACCCAAAAGACCATAAGTATTGTTTATGAATGAGCGGGAGATTGAGCTACCACCGTTGCTTTAATTGTCCAACAATGGACCTCGATCAATGCCAGTGCAATATTTCTTTTCTAGATATATTATAATTAGTAGAAATTCACATTAAGAGGAACCCAAATATGATAAAAGAAATAACAAAAATGAGTGCATACATGAATATTTTTTCTTTTCAAAGTCTTTAAATGAACAGAATAGCTGAGATATATCCATTTTAGCTGTAATTAAAGTTCATATCTAAAATAATGAAAATTTAATTCTTACTATGCATTCTTTTTAAACAAAAGATAAATTCAGATATGCTCATTAGTTAATGTTTTATTTTAAATAGTGAAAAAAGATCTATTTATTTTATACTTATAGAATATTGATGAAATAAAATGCTTATTATTTTCATTTTCCATATATTCACTGTAAAAATTTATTTTTCACTGCGGTGAAACATATTTTCCGTATTTTCACTGGTGTCTTGAGGGACTACTTTCTTTCAAATTCTGCCAGTACACAACATTTAAGGGAAACTCTTTCAAATTGTAATATCAAAACAGAGGAAAATGTATATAATAAACAGAAAATTAAAGTTTTTTCTGTAAACACATGATTTATTTTCACCTTGTGGCATGAAAATTAACATATTTCACTTGTGGCTACCGCCACTCATTCATACCACTTGATGAAAACAAATTATGTATTTACAGAAAAAACTTGAATATCCTCTATATCTATAGGCATTACATATTCAATTCAAACATAATCCATTCAACTGTGTCTTATATAAAGAAAAGTAACATTATAATACTAACATTGCATGTGTGGATTTACATAAAGGTTTTGTTTACGATTATGATTCATGCTTTCTAAAAAAACTATTTAGTACTTTAAAACTTTTTTTGTGGAGGGTAAGTGCAGTTTTTCATACAGTCATAACTTCATAAAATGGCAACTTTCGAACTTTACTCAGATGGAAAGAACCATGTTGCCATTCCAAGCATGATTTCTCTGCATGAGGTGGCTACCTGAGTAGAACCACCAACCTTCCATAAGCTAGCTGGATAGCTGCCTTACATGAAACAATCCAAAATCCACACTTGAATTGAAACCAGTGGTGAGGGACTGAGAGGCAAGTGCTTTAAAGTCAGCAACCTTATCCACACTAGCGCTTCTTACAATATAGGTTTGACAGCTATGAACTTGTCCAAAAGAATTCAGTATTGTACTCAACAATGTACATGTATAACAACCGCATATTAATATCAAACAGTAATGACATATACTAGCATTACAGTTAAAATATAGTATAATGTAATAAAGTAGATAAAATAATAAAAGAAAAACACATGTCATTATGCTTTAAAATTTAATCTGCCAATTTCTTCACATAACAATGCTGACTATTCTACTGAGCAGGTGCTATGTTAATTTATAGACAGTCATATATCATGCATAATTAATATTACTACAGCATCATATCTGAACAATTTTTGCAAACTATAAATATATATAATATATCAATATAAATAACATGTATAGGTGCAGGAATTTATCACAGTTATGCAGGAATCACATATCTTAATATTCTAGAGTAGTATACAACAAATCTTCTTTTTCAATTTTCCTGAACATAGCTTTACCTATCACTTATCTGTCTCTGCTTAATATAATCAAATGTTATTGCAAATAGTTTTGAGTACATCTAAGTAGGTTAATGATAAGTCTTTTTCTCTTTTACTAGATTGTACTACATGTTTATTAATCTTTGCAACATTATGAATTAATCTTTGCCAACAAGAGCTAGAAGAATTTTCTTGAAGTTGTAGCTGGTGTCCTCTGATATATATCTGTATAAGGTTTTGTGAGTTAACTCCAAGAATTCCGCCTTTATCTGAACCATGTCAATCTATAAATCAGAAACATGTAAAGGCTATAAATTTTTATGAAATGATAAGATAAAAATGAACATAAAATTTACCCTGCCATACTTAAACAGTAACAGGTGTCTTAAATGATAAATTGCAAGAATTGAACTTGTCAAGTACATCAAAGAAAAGTCACTGCTTACTTAAAAGAAAATAGACGTGGACAGGAGTTGATGTTTGTAGCATTATAAGTTAACTTTTGGCACACTTTATTCAACAGGTCAATGTCAATATGTTGTAAATGTTTCTTTTATATGTTATCTAAGTAATGAAAATAAGTCATTTTGTGATAAAAAAATATAATTTTTGGAAAAATTTGCAGGTCAAGTCATAAATTCAAGGTTTAACATTATGATATACCTCTGATCTTGAAGCTATTATACGGATCAGAGTTCTTTCATCTGTACCAAGTCCTTTCATAGCCTTCATGAGTCTATGTGCAAAGAATTTTGGCCTGTTCATCACAATTTGAGCAACTGCTTTTAATCCCCTCCTGTAATCCCCAGATGTCTCACTGTCAACTGCATGTCGGATATCAGCTTGTGCTATCTGTAATACAATATAAAATATCTTTAATTGTTTTTGAGTTACATTCCTGACTGAAATTGCAAGAAATAATAAAATGATGAAACCATTTAGAGTTAGTTATAGGCCATAAACATTAAACTTCTTGACAATATGTATCTATATCTCAGTTTTCAAGACGGTCCCCTGAAAAGTTTTGGAATTTTATTTTGGACAAGGAAAAATGAGAAGGACTGATGGACCATTAAACCAACCACACAGTGACTCTTACATACCCATTCAAAAATTTTAGGGTATATGAAAATGGAATGAATAAAGTTTTCCACATTGTAATTTTCTATAAAAAAATATTATTAACTGCTCTCAAATGAGTAAACATGCAGTAGTAAAGCTGTACTGTGTGTGACCAAATGCTATTTCATCAATTAACATTAGAGGTTTCTTGAAAACGATTATGCAAATTATCACAAATACTATACCAATGTGCATTATGTGCTTATGGGTCAAAAACAAAAGTTAATTTGCTAAACTGGTAGAAACTGCTACTTTCTTTATGAAATTGGAACTATAGATAATAAATTCACACTAGTTTCTAAGAAGCTAAAAAAAGTGAAAGAAAATATTCTTTGAAATATGTACACTATTCAGTGTTATCAACTGACTTTTATTTTGACATTATATTTAAACTTGTGAAAATGTTTATAATCAAAATAATTACCTTAACATACTGATCATACACTGCTCGTAGCTGATAGAAATCTCTGGTAGCAAATATAAGGTTGAAAGTTTCTTCATCTGTGCCCCACCTGTCTTCACCAGCTTTAAATAATCTCTCAGCATCACGCACTGCTGTCTTATGATCAGCCAACTTGGTGTAATTAACCTGAAATGTATTTTTCATACATTAACAGTTGCAAAAAAATACACCTTCAATATTTGATACTTACCTAAAATTAACTTTTCATAGATATAAACAACCTAAAATAAACTTTCAATATACATGTATGATAATTTATTAATTACCTAAAATGCCTATATTAAAAAAATTAACAAACATACATTATAAAATAGTGAAAAAAGAGCTGTCGGTAGGACAGCAACGCTCGACTATTCTTAGTGCTTGATAGTAAAAAAAATGCTTGATACAGATACCTCCTCCTGTTTACAGGTTGGGGTAATGATGGTGAACAAGTGTGCAAAGTTTCAAAGCCATATGTCAATGGACTTTGAAAATATTTGAACTATTACAAAAACTTTAACGTAAATTCTAAGTCGAAAAAGGGGCATAATTCTGTCAAAATGCTTGATACAGTTACCTCCTCCTGTTTACAGGTTGGGGTAATGATGGTGAACAAGTGTGCAAAGTTTCAAAGCCATATGTCAATGGACTTTGAAAATATTTGAACTATTACAAAAACTTTAACGTAAATTCTAAGTCGAAAAAGGGGCATAATTCTGTCAAAATGCTTGATACAGTTACCTCCTCCTGTTTACAGGTTGGGGTAATGATGGTGAACAAGTGTGCAAAGTTTCAAAGCCATATGTCAATGGACTTTGAAAATATTTGAACTATTACAAAAACTTTAACGTAAATTCTAAGTCGAAAAAGGGGCATAATTCTGTCAAAATGCTTGATACAGTTACCTCCTCCTGTTTACAGGTTGGGGTAATGATGGTGAACAAGTGTGCAAAGTTTCAAAGCCATATGTCAATGGACTTTGAAAATATTTGAACTATTACAAAAACTTTAACGTAAATTCTAAGTTAAGTTGAAAAAGAGGCATAATTCTGTCAAAATGCTTGATACAGTTACCTCCTCCTGTTTACAGGTTGGGGTAATGATGGTGAACAAGTGTGCAAAGTTTCAAAGCCATATGTCAATGGACTTTGAAAATATTTGAACTATTACAAAAACTTTAACGTAAATTCTAAGTCGAAAAAGGGGCATAATTCTGTCAAAATGCTTGATAGAGTTACCTCCTCCTGTCTACAGGTTGGGGTAATGATGGTGAACAAGTGTGCAAAGTTTCAAAGCCATATGTCAATGGACTTTGAAAATATTTGAACTATTACAAAAACTTTAACGTAAATTCTAAGTCGAAAAAGGGGCATAATTCTGTCAAAATGCTTGATAGAGTTACCTCCTCCTGTCTATAGGTTGGGGTAATGATGGTGAACAAGTTTGCAAAGTTTCAAAGCCATATGTCAATGGACTTTGAAAATATTAAAACTATTACAAAAACTTTAACATAAGTGGTTACGCCGACGCCGACACTGACGCCGACGCTCGGGTGACTACAATAGCTCTACTTATTCTTATCGAATAGTCGAGCTAAAAAGAGCTGATACCCTTAAATTCACACAATGCACTTGTCCTGCTTTGAATAAGGATTAGTTCATTCTAAGTGTGAGGGGCTTTTTATACGATAATACAAATATTGAACTGCCAACAGAATTAGACAAGTCAGGTGGGCTCAATACAGGTGACACCTGCCTGCAATTATCGGCACCAGTGTTCAAACAGTCATGAAGAGCATCTCCAGTGTTTAATAATTTCTCACCTCAAACATTCCAGTTCCTTCACCGTTAGCATTAACAATCTCTTCAACAGCATTTTCCAGCTTTTTTCTAGTGATTTCATACCTGTTACCCTAGAGAAGAAAAAAAACAACAAAAAAACCCTGATTACATGACAACAAGCTATAGTAATCACACTGAATGAAAAAAGAACTGGTAGTAAGATATTGGCTAAACAAAAGTTGTTAAATGACAGATCTTCAAGATCTTAAAGATTGATTACTTACTGAAACATGTTCATGCATTAATGACATAACTTAAAGAAAACATATGATGCACATAAAATCAAATTCATGCTTTATATGTGAATTAAAATAATATGCTGACTGTTTGTTTTGTTTGTTTGTTTGTTTCATTTTACGCCTTTTCCGAACAGTATTTCAGTCATATAGGCGGGTAGTTTCCTAACCATCGTTCCTGGAGAGTTACACCAGTACTAGACTACCTTCCTCTGCGCTAAACTACCAAAGCATCTCCCGCTGATCGAACCCACGCCAGAGAGGTAACTTGATAAGAAGTCATCGACTCTAACCCCTCGACCACGGAGGCGGTTAAAATAATATGCTGATACTAAATCAAACACATGCAAAACAGTGAAATAGAAAAACACACAACCAATATGTTAAGATTATCTATATGTTTTATTTTGAGCAGACAAAGTTAGTTTGTTTTTTAATAATTGGATAAATTGTCACCAAAATGACTTGTTACCAAACAAAAATATAAATACGTGAAAACACAGCAACAGTGTTACAGTCTAATAGTTAATGGGGGAGGGAGATTGAGAAAATTAATCACCAATTTGTTTTGACTTCACAGGCTCATATTATTTCACTTGAAAATAATAAGATAAACAAATTATTGATGGAAATCATAATTCATAATTCATATTCATGATAATTTATGTTATAATGGAAAGTTATTATTGCACATATTACTGATTGTTATTTTAAGCATGCTTGTTTTGAGAGAATGGTTAACTTAATGAGGTTTCCGATTGCTATTAACATTTTACTGACATTAAGTTTGTAAATATAATTGTATTATAGATGATGTACAATGTACAAATCTTAATAAAGTATCTGTTCTGTTCTTGTTTTTGAAGTTGATCAAATGCTAAAACCTAGCATGACTTAGAAAATAATATCATGCAATAATATTGTATGTTGTAGCTCGGACGAAATGTAATAGGACAAGCAATCACCGACATGATAATTGGTCTTATGGTGGCATCAGACGAGTGATTGATAAGCATTCTCTCACTTTTAGTGACAAGTTTAGGCTACTCCTAGGTTTTCCAACTCAGAACTGCTTTTGAAAATGTAAAAAAAATTCAGTATCTTAAACTCTAAATTAAAGTAACAGCTATAATTTTAGAAAATCAATATAATGTTACTATAAGAGTGTATGTTAAACTTTTCTGCTACTTTTATTTACATGTAACAGTAAAGATGATATGACAAACTGGCAACACCACTAAACTTTGATGACTATTTCATCTGTCAGCTGATAAAGTACAAACAGAGATAACAATTTGAAGTATATGTAATGATGAGATGTAATACCTGTGCAGCTGAAATCAGTAATTTCTTGAAATAACCACTTGTATCACCAGAGATATCTTCATCCAGCTGAGTTTCTTTACAAGGCTTATCAGGCTTTGCAACTATATGTAACATTAAACAGTATATTAGCCATTTTTACAATTGAATATTTATATTCTATATTTTTGTATATTACCTGTATCACTCTAACATTATAAAGAAGCTTTCAGATTATTTATTGCAACATAATAACTTGTTTGATTTTTTTTTCAAAGTGCTACGCTTATAACAACTATGAAAATTAAAATAACTACTAACTTATGATACTGGTAGTCATTTTTTTACTTGCTTCATGTAATTGTTTATATCAACCCAGAGTTACATAACTTGCAACATTTACTGTTTCAAGTGTTTTATTTGCACTAAACAAATTAAAAAATAAACAACAACATTTTCACTTCAATTAATCAGTTTTAATCAGTTACCTGTCCCATACACTTGTCTTATTTCTTTAATCTGACGATTAGTCCTGGTCATTAAAACTTCAATCAATGCCAATTCATCTGTACCAAGTCCCTGTTCAATATAATACCTTTCTTATTATTTTAGTCAAATAACATAGTGGCAAGTGTACATGTAATACATGTAATAGAGAAGTTCTATTAAAATTACATGTAGTTTTAATCATTAAATAAACATGATATTTTCATAGTTAAAATTAAAACAAAGATAATTGACTGGAAGATTGTAACACTGGCATTTTCGTTTTTGAAAATTGACAAATATGGAGTGCAAGTTTCTTAACATATTTATCAAAGCTTAAAGGCCGAATAAGCTCCAGAAATGCTTTCGTTTTTATTTTCTTTGCACTTTTATAGTTTCTATAAAGTTACCCATTGACCAATTACATGAACCATCCTTTTCTTCTGTCAATTAAAGGCAATTAGTACAATAATAGTGATTTAGTATTGTGTATGGAAGTCAAATATTACTTTGTTTACATTTTTTCTACTTTCTTGACAAATTATTTCACATTTAGTGTTTCAACCTTCAAGTAACAAGCACCTTACATGCTGTAAAACCATAATTTGGATGTTAAAAAGCTAATGTATACCCTTTATAAAAAAGTAACAAATTATTCATTTCACAGGCATAATGGGCCTATAACTAGAAGAGAAGTTTTCCCCCCAACTCATATCAGTTACATATACTTTCAAGTCAGCTTCATGGAAAAGTACTGGAGTCATACAAGCAAACATGATTTCTTAAAGCCTCAATCTCCGAGTTCAAATGTAGACACAATTATCACTAGGCCAGTATTTTTAAACTATGTATTTAATTATGATCAAATACTCACATAGATAGCTTCCTTGATACATTTAGAATCATAGAGAGCAGGAGAGATGAAACAGGCCACAATGGCATCTTTGTAGTCACCACTTAGTTCACTCTTGATCTCCTTGATTAAATCCTGAAATATATACAAGATTACAACATTGGACAATCACAATATAAATTTATGAACTTATTGATATCTTAATCATACAAAACAATTGTATGCCATAATAAATTCATAATTAGGATTTCTAGCAGATTAAATGAACTTGTATAAATCGTTGTATGCTTATATAACCATGAGATTATACAAGCTTAAAATGCATTGAGGGTTATATAACACTGGTATTATACAAGCTTAAAATGCATTGGTGGTTATATAATGTTGTGATTATACAAGCTTAAAATGCATTGGTGGTTATATAATGTTGTGATTATACAAGCTTAAAATGCATTGGTGGTTATATAATGTTGTGATTATACAAGCTTAAAATGCATTGGTGGTTATATAATGTTGGGATTATACAAGCTTAAAATGCATTGGTGGTTATATAATGTTGGGATTATACAAACTTAAAATGCATTGGTGGTTATATAATGTTGGGATTATACAAACTTAAAATGCATTGGTGGTTATATAATGTTGGGATTATACAAACTTAAAATGCATTGAGGGTAACATAACGCTGAGATTATATAAACTTAAATGCAGTGAGGGTTATATAACCATGAGATTATACAAGCATAAAATGCATTAACAGTTATATAACACTGAGATTGCACAAACATAAAATGCAATGAAGGGTTATATAAGCCTACAATATTTATATTGGACAATAAAACCTATGAAAAATCTTTGTAAATCACTAGTAATCAAGATATTAATAGGAGAATCAAATAATTGTGAAAGAAACTTGACTTTGTGGTACATTGCTACCATCAATCTTAAAACTGAAATGTAAATACATGAAATAGGTTACGTTATATATCTTATAATTAGGGCTAGTCACAGATTGAAATTTTGTCATGGAATTCAGAACGATTCATGAGTCGAAGTCCCGATGTGTCGAAGTTTTTACGCAAGTCCCTCCAACTTCGACTTACCGAAGTTCTACTGTAAATTAAAGTCATACTTACTTTTGCATCAATTATACAAAGAAATCTAAAGGTTTGTATTTGTTGATATACTGCCCATTAAATATGAAAATTCTAACTGAAATAACTTCCAATATTTTATGTTCTTATGTAAAATGATTAAACATGAAATGATCATACCTTGCCATACATTGTTTTATACATTTCTTTAAGCTTCTGTCTTTGTGTATTACACCTTGTTGCCACGATATGTGTAATAATGCTCTCTGTTGTACCTAGAAAATTTTACATTTTTTTATTAAAACTTAGCAAAAATAACCTACTGTAACGTGCACGGGCTAGCTGTTATATATATAATTTTTCTTATGGCTACTTTGCCAGTTGATTGGTTACAAATGATTATACAATAATTTGTTTAAACTTTGGAATCAAGTTTAATTAACTAATATTATAACAATAATGTGCTTGAAAGATAATAAGTGGTCCTTGAACTTGATATAAAATTGGGGTGACACTTTTAGGCTATTTAATATATATAGAAAAACCACTTGGATATCGAGTTTTCAATACTTTAGTAATAACAATTACACCTAACGCTATGTTAAATTGATGCCATTGATATACTTCGTAAATAGTGCAAGAATCAAAGTCATTAATCTAAATTATTCATTTATTATTCCTGTGGCGTTGACACTTCGGCAGCTGGACAGAGACTGGGTGTCCTATATTTATACATAATAATGTAGTTATTTTTAATGATCGTTTACTGAAGTTGAAGAAATCAAGTATCCAAGAGATATTGATAATGGGTCGAATATTGGTACGAATGGCATTTAGTTTGAATGATTTTAAGGACGAATTGTTCTGATATTTTAAAAATAATAAAAATATGCGCGTTATATCAATTTATTACTACGCATAAGTTGTTAAATCTAATCAGGTATTATTTATGTATTTTTTTACTTATTTATGGAAGATTAATCTATACATTTAAAAACAAGATTACATATTTGTTTACAATTTAACTTATCAGCAATTTAGGTATAAAACCACTGAATATCATTATAGAATCTAGGCAGAATAGAACAATCGTCACACTACTTAAAAACCTTTTTCTTATTTTATTATTTCATCTTAAGTACAAATTGGCTGATTGTCTGGAATTTTTTAGATGTGGTGTTGAACCAATAAGACTGGAAACTGGGAGGTATGAAAAATTGTAAATAAATAAAAGAACTTGTTTTAACTGTATTGATATTGTGGAAGATGAAATACATGTTATGTTACACTGTCCACTCTATATACAATTCAGGGAAGACCTATTTGAGTCTGTAAAAATAATAATGATGAAGTTTACAGCCAAAGCCTGCTTTAATATTAAAACATAGGCGTCTTCTTCTTAACTGAAGGTAACTTTTTTATACAGGTATTATTTGTCAGAGAGTGTTATGAATCAGCTGAGAACCTACTTAATGGCCAGGAGTAATGTTTTTATTATGTTTCTAAGTGTATTTTATGCTTCCTACTATCAATATCTTAAATTTCATTAGAATTGGTTTAACATCAGTCAACCGAATAACTTTATACATGTATAGTCTTACTGATACATCAGTAGAAATAGCTTTTAAGATGATAGACTCACAGCATTTCATAAACAGTTAAAGCAATGTTTACATTGTATATATGTAAATATGATTTGCCTACCATCTGATGTAATTCTGTTTTGTATGGCATATGTACTAATTCTGTTTTGAATGGCATATGTACTTTTATCACTTTTATTAATTTTGATTGTGGTGTATATGATGTGAATGTAATGAGATATAAATAAACTATTTGAACTTTGAATTTGGTTTCATTATCATTACATAGACTGTATACACATTCAAGTTTACTTATGTAAAAAAGGTCATCAATGATTAAGACTAATGAATATAAAATGTCTTTTGACTATAATAATACCCATTATTCACTGTGTAACTATCTGAGAACATGATTTGTAAAATATTTTTGTCACATAATTTGTAATATATTTTTTGTCAAGGTAAAATGTTTTATTACCCTTCCAGATTTTTTCCGCCTTTTTGATTGGATATTGATCACCCAAAAAAAATTGATATTACCGAGCCAGACGGGTAATATACACACTAAATTTCCCCGTTGGGTACCCCATGTTGTAAACAACATGCGCTGAGGTGATGCACGTACGGTTCGATTTTACGCGGTGTAAATTCCGATTATCAAGCACTTTTTAACTGTCAAATGATAAATATTTACCAAAGTAGAGTAATGATACATATTCTAATCAGTCTTGAAAACAAATATGACCTTGTGAAAGCTTGATATTAATTACAAAAAAGTGCATTCAATAGACTACTCCTTTTCTCTTGTTTACATTCGTTAGGTACGGGAAAAATACGTCATGTATTTATGTGACGTCATGTTGTGATGAAAGGGTACCCTAAAGGGAATCTTATTTCGACGTTTCATTTGAAACAGCAATGATTTTTTAAAAAATCGTCTAAACTCGGCAGGGGAAGGGTAATAAAATTATTATTTTGGTTTTGGAGTGATATATGTGGATATATTACCTGCCAAGATAAAATATCACCCTCGCCTTACGGCTCGGGTGATATAAAATCTTAGCAGGTAATATATCCACATATATCACTCCAAAACCAAAATAACATATAATATTCTACACTACCTGCTCCTTTCATTGAAAATCGCAGATATTCACAATCAGCCTCGGGGTTCCATTCTTCTCCTGTAAGATCTGTATTACGCTCTTTCTTATAATATCCTACAACAATATCATCTGATGGGTATTTTAGGAAAGGTGCCACTGTACCCTGTGCCATCTCTAGTGTTGATGTTATAGCATAGCGTCTGAGAAGCTCATCAATAAACATATTCTTCATTTTGGATTTCACTTCTTCATTCAACTGCTGTTTATTCTACAGTAAAACATCTCAATATAAAGTTTTATTTTCATTCAGAACAGACAAGGTATTCATCAAAATAAAATACACAATACATGTATATACATATTTTATTCCATTTGACTTGAAAGTCAGCTTTAATTACAAGAGTTATATTAAAGCACAGATAAAAATGCCAGTATCATTTAGAAATTACTTTTGTTAATGTCTGTAGCATTTTTGTTTAGTATTTATAACAAAATTTGACATTATAAATATTCTTTTTAGAGGTTTTAAAGGGTATAAAGCAAGAAATGGGTTGCCTACAGTTGGTAGAGTATTTATTTTTGTATCTTGATAAAAATCATACAAAGTATGTAAAGTGACATAATGAGGTTTGTATTAATTTCCTATAACATACACAAAATCATTCCCTTATTCACAAATGTAGCATATGAATATTTTGTTACTGTTTCCAGTGTTAAACAGAGACTTCTTGATAAAAATCTGTCTTTATAACACAGCAACTTTATTTTACAGTTCTGAAATTATCATTTCATTAACCACTTTGTTGGTTTTCATATTTAAAGTAGAACTTTACTTTATACACACCTCTGCCTTCTCCTGCCTCTCAGCCGGTTCACTAGATCTCTGTTGACTAACAGACTCAGGTGCAGACGGGGATTTCACCTCAAAACCCATTTGCTATATACATGTATGAAAAAAAATAAGGTGTTTATGAAGAAATCTTGGTTATGTCTTTACTATTGTTGTGACAATACTAACAGCGAAAAGGTTGAAAGTAAATTGTTGATATTCTTACCTAAAGCATGAAATCAAACTGATTATAATTAATTCTTATCTTTTATTCTGAAAATAAGTTGTGCTTTGATAACTTTTACTAACTGACAGGCCTTCCTTATATATACTTAAAAGTGTTTAAGGGGAACTAAAGCTAAAAAGTTCTAATTTTATCTTGCACTGGCACTCAAAATCAAACATGTTACCTTACTGTCAAGAGAAATGTGTTTTCCATGCTTTTTTTCAGACATGCACATAAAAAATTATACAACAATTTATATCAGCTGAATAGTTTATCATTACAGTTCCATTTACATTGTAAAATGATCTAATGTCAAAGTGAATTTAGGACATCAACTATGAGCATCTAGGTTAAGGACCTGCTTCAAGACATTTTTTAAATTGAGATTTGATATTTTACCTCATACATGTATCTCTGCATACCCATCTCCATCTGATGTTGAACAAATGGCTGGAGAGTGTATGACTGTGGGAGCTGTACAGGTTGTGGGGGCGCCTGTAAATTATATAAATCATTTCAAATATAAAATCTATTAACCTAAAGGAAACGAAAAAAAGCTAATTTAATCGGTAAAATAATCTTGCTTGGTATATGATTATAAGGTAATAAAACTGAACAAGACAGTATACCAGTAAGATTAGACACCTTATCATTAACAAAATGAATACACAAGAATCTTGCACATGTATCTCAGCCAAAAGTTTGTTCAGGTCATCATCAAGTGACTCTTTGCTTCTTGTTTACATCTGAATCATAACTGCAATAATAATTTTTTTTTCAAGATTCAAGACTCAACAACTTTATCAAATCAATTAAAAGTAAGAAACTTACCTGATCTCCGTAAAAGCAACCTGTACTCATCTGTTGAACAGCTGGACACTGAAACCCAGGGTTCCCTAAATAAACAATAAAATATGTTGTACATGTGTGCTGCAAAG